TCCGATCTCCACTTTCACAAATTTTTTTTTTTTTTTTATATTATTTACTTATATTTTTTTATATTAAATATGTGGCGTTGTAGGCTATAGCGACTTCAGTGAAGCTGTTTTGTGTCGTTATAGGTTGTAGCGACATTATCAATATGACTTTCATGGCTTCGCTGGAGTTACAAAAATGCCACGTGTCAACGGTGTCGCTATGGGCCATAGCGACACCGTTAAAAAGTTCCCCAAAAGTGTATATTGTTTAAAAACAGCCCCATTTACGTAAATAAATTTGGGAACTGCCCCAATATGGTCAATCAGCCCTCATTCACAAGTTTTTTTAGCAAAACTTGAAAACCCTCATTTACAAATTTTTTGGCAAAACTTGGAGACTTTCCTCAAAATAATCTTCTCTCTCATTTAAGACGGTAACCCCTTTATAGGCTGAGTACTTCTTCTCATTTCAAGAGTATTTAATTATTGACCTTACGTTCTAATCTTAAAAGAGAAAATAAATCTCTAAAATAAATACAATATATTTCAATTTTAAACAATATCATAAAATAATCAATATTTTTTAAAATTTAAATAATATTTCAGAGATTTAAATTTAAAAATTTGAATTATTTTTCTAATAATATCTAACAAAAATATACAAACGAAATTTAAATAAAATATTCATTACATCATAATCAAAATTTTAATAAGACAAAGGAAGTGTCAATTCATCATTTGAACTAACAAATTTTTAAAACTAATTTATTCAAATCAACCATAGGATGAATCGAAACAATGGACAATGTAGTTTTATTTAAGGAAAGAATTTTCTTTAGGAAATATAATTTTTTGATAATAACTTTTATATTAGTTTCTCACATAAGTTAAATAAATAAATTTTATTATACTTAATTAATGTAATAAAAATATTTGATTCTTATAAGTAATATTTAGAGTGAACTAAATTGCACGTACTCATCATCCCGAGCATGAAAGAAGTTTTTGTTTAATTATTTTAGTGTTGGACTATTTGACTATTGAAAGCAAAAACCAAAAAATGAGTGGAGCGGGGAAGCGAAAGGCAATTGAAAGTGGATGACATGACAAGGGAAACAGTGATTTTGATTCTTTGAAGGGTAAAGTAAAACAGTGATTCCCTCATCTCTCTCTTGCGGCGGCCATGGAATGGGAGATGAGGCCCGGCGGCATGTTCGTGCAGAGACGCCAACCCACCGTCCATGACAACGCCAACGTCATCATGATGACCGTCACCGTCGCACATGCTTCTTCCCACCACCACCTCTTCCTCCCTACGCACTCCACTTTCTGTTAGTCTCTCTTTCACCGATTACTCGCTTTACTTAGCAAGTCATTTTCTGATTGATCAATGATTCACCAGAATTCCGATGATAAAAGGCCAAAAAATTTGCCCTAAAAAAGGAAAATCAAAAGCTGTTGTGTTAGGGAAGGAAGCGAAATCGTGAGAGTCAGCATTATAGGTTTTGAGAATGTGCATTGCCGACGGAATTTGCTCTTCTTTTGATTAATTATTTTGTGGTTTTTGAATTAAGGTTGCGGTTGTTGTTTTGTTGCCATCCTTCACATTGCAGGAAAATGCAACTGATGCTGCCACGACTGTGGTCATGGTGAGGAAAAAGCCTTGACGTTGTGGTTGTTCTGGGGACTGCTTTTAAAACCATGAATTGTTTATTTGTTATTTTGGGTTCATATCCAGAGTGACTGAAGTGTGTTTTATGTTCATAAGCTTGACAGTTCTGGTACCTGAAGTAAATTGCATGATTTATTTTCATACTATGTTCACAACGGATTAAAGTTTTTTGTCCTGCACTGTGTCATTGATTGTTCTTTCGTCTGGAATTTGTTTGAGGAAAATAATATTTGTGTAAAAAGTCACACATCATACAAGTAGGAAGGCAGTAACAATGTTGAATATACTATAGATTCTAGAAGATGTGTATGATAAACAACTTAGTTAAAAACTTATTTAATAAGCTTATATCATTAATCCCAACTCCAACTGTAGCAGACTAGCAGCGGTTTTAAATAATGCACTATAGCAGTGGAGCGTCTTTTTTTTTTTTTTTTTTTTTTTTCTCTTGTTTTTAAAACATTTTTTTTTACTCTTGTTTTTAAAACTTTTTTTTTTTTGTATAACTAAAAGGTATAACTTCTTTCTATGGGATCAGCCCATTTTAAGGAATAAAATAGTAATTCTAATCACAACTCAATGCCCAAGCCGGGAACTGAACAGAAGTCCATAGCTATAGTGGTGAAGCAGTTTAGTGTAGTGGTTGTAGTTTACCAAATAGTGGGTTGAATAGTGGCCTGCTACTATGTCTCTCTATCTGGGATTTGAAACACTGGAAATAAGTTAGAGCTTATGAAAAGTTTATATTATGCATAATCATTTCTGATATAAGGTTTCAATAGGCCAATATTTTGATACAAGTCAATGGGAGATATTGTGCATAACCATCAGATTGAAATGAGACAATATGATAATCCCAAATAAGCTCTACTTAATCGTTTCTGATAGTCTTTCAAGTTTCAATTAGCTTATATTCTGTTGTCATTGGTAAATGTCTTTGTCTTAACTTAGTCTTCAACAACAGGGGATGTTAAGAGATTGCTTGTACACAAAACTGGTTTACAGCCTGAAGAGCAACGACTCTTCTTCAGAGGAGAAGAAAAGGACAATGAAGAGCATTTGCACACTGAAGGTGTGACTGACAAATCAAAGCTTTTGCTTTTGGAAGATGCTGCCAGTGAGGAGAGTAGACTTGAAGAAATTAGAAAACACAATGAAATGTTAAAGGCTTCTGAAGCTGTTGCTGGAGTCAGAGCAGAGGTGGACAAGCTCGCTGAAAGGGTGCGCTGTGTTTTCTCCTTACTATCATTTGTTTTAGAAACATAAGATCTGGAGCTGGAGAATGAGGATATGACTGGTTTTAATTATGCAGGTGTCTGCCTTGGAAGTGGCTGTGGATGGAGGGACCAGGGTTTCTGACAAAGAGTTTTTGATGTCCACGGAGTTGCTTATGAGACAATTGCTGAAATTGGATGGTATTGAAGCTGAAGGTGAAGCCAAGATTCAGAGAAAAGCCGAGGTAGAGTATTTATGTTGTTAAATAAATTTTAACTATTTATGTATTAATTATTGTGTTTATTTTCATATTCACAAAATCCTGTATATTGGTATATCATGGAGTATATGTTACTACCTCTGGTCTTAATTATAAGCAACAAATTGGTTTTTTTCTTTGGTTTTAATTATAAACAACAATCGTTAGTTTTTAAAATTACTAAGGTTAAATTTCTTTTGTACCCTTTATTTATTGTTTATTCTATTTCCTATGCATTCACTTATAACTAATATTAAATATATCAATCACTTATAGTAAAAGCATATATTTGAAATAAAACTTGAATTTATGATAAAATTAATTAAAAGTAACAATATTAATTACTTTTCTTGGTCTTGATGATTTGTCTTATGTTACTTATAATTAGGATTGGAGGTAGTATAACGTAGCACTTGGGATTATGTGCTATGACTTTTGTAAAGCTTTGTTTTCTTAGCCTAATAGTAATCCATTTATATGAGATCTTTGTTTACTGGCATAATGGCATTTGATGCACTGGATTGAATAGCTTGAGGTGGATGATGATATTTTGAAGAATATTTACCTTAGCTTAGAAAATAATGAGTACTAAACATGGTAATTAAGATTTTCATAATATAAGTTCCACGAAGATTTATGCATGGATTTTTTTTTTCTTTTCAAAATGCTGTCTTGTGCATTTTTTCAAGATGAAGCTTTTGAACTTCCGTTAAATTTTCTATCCCTTGTGTATGAAATTTCTTAGCAAGCATTTTCTAAAATAAAAACTTTCACTAGAAAATTCTGTTGGTTTGATATAGTCTTAGTTGCTGTCATAGTCCTGGAAATTTACTATGAAAATGCCAACGGTCGTTGCTGGTCAAGTGATGAGACTTTTATCATCGAGGACAAGCATTTGAAGTGACTTGGGGGAAGAAAATGATATTTGGTGATGTTAAAGGACTGTTTAGCAATGAGTGTAGGTTTGTTGCATTCCTGGAA